AACAAAAAAATAAAATTCACATACAATATTAAAAGGATAGGAAATTGTAGTGTTATTTATTTATGTTCCAAAGAACCTGGTACTCTTGCACCATTGAACGTTTGGCTACGAACACTGCGTTTGGGTTGGATCAGAATGTAAAATTTGCATATTGAGGCTATAAAAATCCTGTACATGACACGGTTCTTGTATTTTGTGTACGTATGCAAATGTGTTCCATTAAAGTGTGACTCACATTTCGGGCCATATTAGAAACAATTTCTCGCACTCCTGCCCTCAAGTAAATCATTTCCTTAAGAATTAAGTGCTTTGGTTTTTACTGAAGTAGAATTTTTTTCGTAGTCATTTGATGAAGGCAATTTAGTTTTAAATAGAGTAATATAGGAAATTATTAATAGTAAATAATTGATCGTTTTTATTGATTGTCAAACATATGGTTTAAGAGAATATATTATTTCTTGTAATGAATTATGACATTTAAATGATATATTATTTTTTTTCTTTTATGAATATTAAATTAAATGTTTAATTTATGTGTTAAGAAAAGTTATTAAATAATTAATAAGTTTTTTTTTATTAATTCAAATATATGTTACCCTGACATTAAGTAAAGAAATATAATTGAATAAAAAATGTACATATCTTCAACAGTTTATTAGTGTATATATATTCTTTCATTATATTTATTTAAGTAGATAGTCACCAATAACGATATTCACTCTTAAATAATTTGTTAATGAAAGTATGTTACACACGATATCATATTTGCATTAAAATTGATCAATGAAATACAAAACCATAACCACATAAATAAAAAAATTCTTAAATTGTTAATCTATTTAATAATTTTTTAGTTATTATTTTTTTTAGTTTATCTATTTTTATAACTTTAGCACTGTATTGGAGTAATTACTTCGAAATAATGATTTATATATAAATCTTAATTACCATAATAATCATAAACAGAAACATAAAAATAAAAAGTCAAATAAACCTTTGGGTCAGTTGTGTAAGGTGCGCTTACTTTAAGCTTCAAATTTGGCAGGGCACGAGTTCGATTCCTGGTACTTGCAGTTTCAAAAAATTAATTACAAATAATTAAATTTGGCAATACTCGAAGCAGCTGAAACAGAATTTCTGGTTAGCCAAAAATTCAATTAATTAAATTAACATAAAATGAATTTTTGTTGTTGTAGTTCACTACTATACGAAAAGCCTCGTAATAATAATAATCTTTAAACTTAATAATTATCAATTAATTAACCTTTGTGTCAGTTACAATTCATTACACTGAAGTATAAATTAACTTGAACACTAACAATAAATCATCACTAAATTTGAATAATTGGTTCTAATGGTTCAATTAAAATCTAGTTATAACAGATGTTAATACTAAAGCATTATATTAAGTTATCTCTAAGCCGTACACTAAGTGAGCTGAAATGCATTAGGAAAAGTCAATGAAAATGCAAAAAGCCATCAACATTTCAGTATAGTGATGGCGTACTTAATTTATCAACATTTTGTAAGGAGGAGAACAGCAGATGGCACTAAATAAATTTGTGCAAGCAATTATATAGCGTAATAAGATAAAATTTAATTGTAACTTTATTAAAAAAAATCTAATAAAAAAAAATTATTGACAAATTGTATTCGAAAATAAATTTTCTACAACATCGCCCACTTGCATTTTTCCTACATATTTCATAGATACAAGGATGTGTGATTTTCACATATTGTATGTATAATCCTGAAACCTGAATAAAAGCAACACCTAAAAGCATGCAACATTATTGAAATTTTGCACATGTGAAATTTTTAGCAATTTTTTGGCACAAAATGTCAATCTCATATTTGCCTCTTCTCCGTAATTGAATTTAATCAAAAATTGACAATTTCTTCAAAATTTCGCAATTTGTCAAAAACGTACAACATTCTTACTAACATTATACAATTTGTTGTTGTATTTTTATTTATATATTTTCTTATCTTGTTAAAATGCTTTCACGGCGGTAAGCCATGAACCGCTGACATTTTCAATCGTTCAAGCACGAAATTAAAATTAAAGAAACAAATTTTTTTTAACTTTCCGTTCCAATAAAATGAATAATAAATATTTCATTTTCTTATTTGTGGCTTTAGATAGTATCGCAGATTATAATGAAACTCTTCGAAATTTATTTAAGGAAAGTTGCAACTTTTTACAATTTATATATATTTTTTATTCGTTTTTTGACTTTGTCAAACTTTAAAAGGTTATGGCTAAACATAGCTATAGGAACTATATTATGCACTTATTATTATAAAGAAGAATAGAAAATTATTAAAAAATATTTAGAAGAAATAGTCTTAAATGTTGATTATTACATCTGAAGATTTGTAATATCTTTTAACTTCTTGCAATTATTGGATAGATGTCTCGAGAATACATCTCACGTCTTGGAATATATTTATTCTCCAGATTTTTATCATTAGAAAACAATTTTTGCTGCTTTAATGGTTTAAAGCAGAATATAATTAAAATATAAAAATTAATTTTTATAACTATTTATAACAGGAATTCGTTAGGGAGTGACTATTCGATATATGGTAGTTACTCGAAATCTGGATGTTGAATAAATCCATCCATCAGAATCGATATGAAGCCTATTAGAAGATAAGTTTTAGCTTTAATGGAGGCATATACCAATTAAAGCCAAAAGTAGATAAAAAGATCTCTCAATAAATGAAGTTAATATCAAAGTAACATTAGCAGGTAATACACACTGGCAGCAAAGTTTTGGTTAACACATTACAATCGAGAAATAGGACATCGAGCCAGTAGAATACATTATATCATACGTTCATATTCAATCATTCATAGGTTTACTGAATAATTTATTGGCGAATAGCGAACGGAAGAGCAAGAAACAAAATTGGGATAAGAAGTTCTAAATCACTGTTTTCTTAAAACTAACAATTTTTAAAACCATTTGTTAAATCAAGTGTAATCTATAAGCATAAATGCTGATATCTTTGACTTAACAGAATTAACAGAACTAATCGAGTTATATTGAATGGAAATCGTTGAAAAAATATAATTCTTAGTAATACAGTTGAAGTATTACTCATAAATATAATTGCATGAAAAGGGGGACGAAAAATGAAAATAAATCAATAAAACGATTCTGGTTTAATGTCGCTCAGACAAAGACGATACGTTGGAATAATTAAAATGCGATGGATCAATAGTATTTATGTTGATTTTTGAGAAGTTGGAGTGTAAAACTAAGAGCACATTGCCAATAACTTTGAGAAATAATACAGGATTATTATAATAACAAATTATGTTCCATATTTGAAGAATCAATGAAGATGTATTAATTTGACCAACATGAGTTAGGTTTTACTGAGGACTGGAAGTAATATCGAATTGTCTATCGATCTAGATCTACCAGCTTTAGTAAATATAAGATCAAGTAAATTTTTTTATCAGTATTCAAATCAATTTTAAAAGACTACTTAGCAACTTATAAATAAAAAGATTCGCAATATAACTAAGGTTTTTATATATCCATATGGTATTCATAGAGTAAGTATTTAATATTATGACTTTAATAAAAAAAAAAACAATTTGAATAAAACTAGTTAAGATTTTATTGAAAAATTTTCAGATGAAGAAAATAAAACAAATTTACTAGTTTTAGGTACAATAAGTTTCTAGAAGTTCACATGTTAAAGTTGGAATAAATATAAAATTATACATAGATGTATGAGTATTTTTATTAAGCATGGAAATAAGAACTGTATACTTTTAAGGAATATCTTTATAAAATCAGTGTACTTGTTTTTATATTCGAATTAATGTAAATTCTTTATTAATAATAATATTGATTGATACGTTATTGTCTTTCTTCTAAAAATATTTTCGTGCGCATTTACATTCTATTTAGTGTTGAAAACATTATTTTGTCAAAAATACTAACTTTTATTGCGTGAATTTATTTTTGCTGGCATTGAAATCTGCAAATATGAAGTCACCTTCAATGAAAATATCTATACGAAACGATGAAACGATGTATCTGCTATTAATATGTCATATTTAGAAAAATACTAAAATAATTTTACATTCAGTTGTGGTAAATGCATATTTGCAACAGAAAGCATGGCAACTGCCTATAAGCAAAACTACATCAATCACTGCACCTTATGCCTCTTCAAACAATAAAACGAAAAAAAACCGCATTAAATAAATTCAAAAGAACTGCATTGCGAATTCCAAAAATATACCCACATTTCAATGCAAGTATATATTTGCAATATTTTGTTGGCACTAGTCCCTCGAAGCGAAAACACATTTAGCATGTTCCAAAACTAAAATGCAATGTATCCAATGCAATGTGTGTATCACGAAGAGCCTTTGCAAGTCTAAAGCATTATTCACAATGGCAAAATGCAGCACAGGTGCAAGTATAGACAAGCACCGAATTGTTGCTGTTGTTGACTTTCATATTTTCCTGCATTAAAAAATTACAATAATAATAAAAAATGCATTTTATATCCTAAAAGCCTCATATATTAGGTATACTTTATGGTGAGGTGCTTGGGCGGAAGATAAACTTATTTAATCCATGCTAAATTTTACACGACATTGTTACGCTTATGATATTTCAAATTGTCAGTGCAGACGAGATTATCAATATTTTTAGTTTTTGTATCTTTTACAAGATAACAAAAATAATACTTAAATAATAAAAATTTTGAGGTAGAGTTTTAATGTAAATTACATAAAGTACTTTAATAATACATATAAAATAGATTTATATGTATAATAATTCTAGTTAGATACAATTTAAAATTTTAAAAATAATTGTTTGATATTAACTGCATATTAACAAGAGAGGATATACAAGCTATACATATTGAACTATATCACAATAAATTGACCTCGTCATTATATGTCTGCCATATTGCAACAACTCATATAAATTAAATATCATTCGAATGGAAATCACTTGAATTTATGCTAAAAAAATCAGTAACCAAGTTTCTGCAGCATTATTATTTTCAATCTCAAGAATTTCAGGTCCATTTACATCCTCTTCACCACTCCACACTGTACTACCTTTTATACAAAAAAGTGTGAAAAGGATCTTTTAGGTTTGTCAAGTTTATTGTAACGCATTATATTAGACGTTGTAGACCACATGAAGTATATATTCCATATTCTTAATCAGTTCGGCGAGTAAAGTTCATGTAGTCTTGTCCGTCTGTCCGTGTATGTGTTGAAGTTTAAACTTGTCCCCCAGTTGCTAATCGAATAAAACTTTCTACATACTTTTCAGAAGTGGATCTTGATAATTAGACGGATTGACCGAACATAAACTAGTTTATCCTATAGCTATTATATAAACTGAATAATCAGATATGAATTTTGTCCGTTTTTAATAAAGATACTCAAGTATAATTTGATGTGGAATGTATTTATATTCAGATGCAATAATGTACAAAATTTCTTTCATATCAGTTCATTTTGAACTTTCAAAATTTCTAGATATACATATAGATACTAAATAAATCACTGATTCAGACATATGTTTTGTTAGAAACATCTTTTTATTTTCTCATAT